AAAATCAGAAACAGGTTTAAAAAAAAGCCTATACGTTCCAAATAGAATTTATTATTACTTCTTGAATCTGAATTACTTTTAAAGTGTGAGACAATTAAAGAAAATAAAAATAACTATGAGAAGAATTGTTTAAATGCTGTAAATGTAAATCTCCAACATAGTTTCCAAAGTATCGCGACGCCATTGTCGATACAAGGAAAACTTTGAAACAGCGCGAGTATCCGATAGGAGAAATCGTTCAGAAAATCGACAGAATTAAACTGAATTAAAGTTTTCTAAGCGTATCGGAAATACGAGAATTAATGATGCGCAAACAACTGATCAATCTGCTTAACTTGCATAATTATTACAGTGATTAAGGGCACAAGCGAAACAGATTTGCAGAATTGGTTCAAATAAGCTTTCGTTAATTAATTACTAAAATTATATATATATATATTTGATAATCAATTAACCAAAAGCTTATTCAATAATTCCTACAAAACTATTATATATACATAAAATTTTATGTACCATGTATGAATTGTTCTGACATAAAAACTTGGTCTTTCTTACAAATGATAAAAATGATAATGTTGTACCACCAATACGGAATTAAAACATCGATACTTACAAAATTAAAAATTTTATTCGTTAATATCACTTTTAATATCTTCCGATATTAAAACATTATTATATAATAAATGAAATGAATAAATGAAATAACTATTACGTATACCATATTGAATTATAGATATCCAACTTTTTTTTTAAATCAAATAAATATATCTATATGTGACACCGAATGTGATTCTAATTGAGTTAATAAAATATACTAACATTTCTTTCACTTCATGGCTAGGATACCATATCACAGTTCGTTAGCGGTTTAATTAACGTGGAGAAGAAATTAGAAAGGAGGAATTTAAGAAAGACTACATATATTTAGACAAAACAGAAAGCGACTAGACAATTAATGAGCACAATGCTATTATCATGCAATGGAACTCTTTTTTTTCTTTTTTGAAGTCGATACTAATGAAGTACGACTGGAGTGCCTTTCATGGGAGCTGTACTCTGATGCAAGTGTAACAGTCGTCCTCTCCATGAACACGTCGATATCCGAAATAAAAGCGACGGTTTTAAAAAGCAGTTTCACGCGATTGTGACTGGTATACGTCATAGAGTTGGATCATTTCTGTGCGACTAGTTTTTATCGACTTATTCTACTTTGAACGAAAAAAAATATATCACGTGGCAAAGAAATAAAATATTCGAAAACGGAGAAATAGATTCAAAAGTGAAGGAATAACATTTCTACGAAAAATATGCAGCGCGAATCTATTTATATATTTTCATTATACATTTATGTTTGCTTTCCAGTAAGGATATTGTTCGAAATTTGAGACGGTAACACACAAGAAACACTTCGATATTCCACTTCTGAGAAAAAAAATACACAACACACGTTTCACCATTATCTTTCATGCGGTGAAATGCGTTGTTAAGCAGAAACGCTTACATAAATAATGGTAGAATTTATGCCGCACGCACTTGCACACACAGATAGAAACATTATTCTACTTAGAAGGAGAGAGGGAGAGAGAGAAAGAGAGAAGAAAGCATATGACACCGCGCATAACGCACGGGATACAAACATCGCAGTGTTAGTTCTCTCTCGCTTAGTGAGACAATAGATCGTTTTGTTAAACAACACGAGTTCTCTTTAGACTCCACAGTTTTCGATTATTGTATTCGACGTTGCGAGTTCTACGAAAAAAAGGACATGCTAATTGTAAACCTGTTAATTTCACACCTTTAGTTCGCACAACTTAAAAATTGAAACGAGATGCTGTTTTTTTTACAGATTCGATCGATCATCATAACATGTGTATTGTAATAATTCTATTCTGTAATACGTTATAAAAGGATTATAATAATTGAGTGAGATTTTATTGAAGTCCGTTAAGACCTTGATTAAGACCGAAGCTTCGAATGTAAACAATTAAAGTAAAATTAATCAATCGTTGAACATCGATTTAACATTATGTTTTATGAATACACCGTATAAACTTTGAGTACATACATTTTATGTAGAAATGATTTATTGCTCAATATTTCACGGAGTAATATACAATTTTCGATATATTTTTATATTGATATACAAGTGCAAAATAATTTAGTAATATATTTCTCGTGCATAACATCCTGCAAATTTTGAGCATTATTAATTTAAGCATCATTAATATCATAATTAATTACAACATATAATGTTCAGTATTCAATATTTAATTCATTTGTTTATGTCAGCAAGCGTTAATCTAGAAGAAACATCGTTTCTCTCTTGTGGCAAATAGCGTTGAAGTTTTGTCATGAAAAACTATTATGACGATTATCAAGATTTATATTGCTGTCCATAGAACTCAAGACTTTCCAGAAATAGATATATACTCGACGGAAATAAAGACTTCAACTATACCCGGCGCGGTGAACTTTACATTTTTGCGCTATATAATAATACAATACGTCACGTTTCTATGCACTTGGGAATGTAATTCTCGGTACATGCATTATTTCACCTCGTTATCCGGTATATTATTGTGTGAGTTCCGTTAACTTTCCGATGTCTTTTTTTTATCGATATCAATTAATTTCACTCGTTATTCGAATAAATTATTTTATCGTTTTCAACGTAGAAAGGATTCGTAAATTTATAATTATAAAAATAGCAAGCGAGTGAAACGTTTAAAAAAAAATGTATTTATTTTGTGACTTTAGCATTTTCGTAAAATGTTTCAAACGTTCAAAATTGAATGTGTATATCATTTCGACGTAACATATCTACAGAACGCGTTTGTGGATTAGTCTCATATTAAAATTAAAATTTTTGTTGTGAGATTTATGTACTCTCTTTTGAAATCTGCATTTTCGAAAAATTCTATTTTAAAATGGTGTTGTAGAATAAGCACGTGCAATTAACTTTCTAATCTTTTCTAATCTTGGGAATTTTTATCATGTTTTATCTCGCCTCTCTCTCTCTCCTCTCTCTTTCTCTCTCTCACAAGGCTATTCATTAAAACCTCAGCAAATCGAGAGAAAAGCTCAACTAAAACTGAAAACTGTTCTCGGCGATGATGACGCGAAACACGCACGTTAGGATTCTCTTATGGCGGAACGCCGCAAGACGGCTGTATGGAATTTGAGAGCGTATAATAGCCTGCCATAGTTGAGACCTATATTTAGCGCGGCTCGCGGTTTGCTTTTTCTGATGAACCATTAAAACTTCGTTGAACCAAGCCGGAAGCTCAGCTCTAGATAATCTCCAACTCGAAGACTGTTCAAGCTTTAGGGCGCTTAAGCACGGTCTTATGAGGCTAGAGAAACAGCATGTGCTGCTAGTGAAACGGATTATACGAAACGCGCGAATTTCTGATAAACACATGTATTATCCGAATTACCACAAACATATTTCTATTTTAGAAGAATATATGTCTTAATAAGAAGGAGTTTTGACTTTCATAAATTTTATCAAAATTAAAGAGAATATATTTTCTCTTAAATTTTATCATGAAAATATCATATAATAGTTGTGGTACTAATACATTTTAAATATCTTTACCACACACTTCTCAGTAAAATTATTCAAACGTATATTTTATCGTAGTTTTATTAATGAATAAAAGATTTACATAAAATTTTTCGAAATACAACGTTATCCCATGACTATCATATTTTCGGAGTAAATTTGAAAAAATGGCATATTTCGCAAAATAATTAAAAATAGGGGTAAAACCGGGTAATTTAGATAAATTGACAAAGATTTTAAAATTGCATAAAAGATTGAAGTCGCATAATGTATTCAACTAATTGTAAGTATATAAACATACGTTATTGCTGCTGCAATAAAATATGTTTTGTATATATGATTGAATACACAATGCGACCTCAATCTTTTATACAATTTCAACGTTTCTGTTAACCTGTCCAAATTACTCTGCTTCATTCTAAATTGAAAAATAATGACCGTTCTGTATTTAAACCTTTCACAACTTTTTTTATTACATAATTGTATGACTTGTGTTAATAATCGTGTCAGCGATTCCAAATGATACATTCATTCGACGAACGTGCATTGAGATATAGCACATGTATTTCTCTGTGAGATAATTTATATACAGATGTAGATACTGTTGTAATTGCAGCACTTGACAATACAGTGAAGTTACGTAAATCCGGTAAACTCGGATTTTGAAACAGACGCGCATAGATAAAAAAAATCTGACGTTTGTTTTCACTAAAATAATCTGTATCCGTGCATTCGAGATTAATTTATATTTATATATGTTCATACTAACATTCTGCGAATTACCCAACGCCAGCACGTTTCGCGTGACTGTTCATCGCCTCGCTACTTTAACTTTCTGCTATTATTTTCGCTTCTTGCTACTTGCTTATTAAACGCGCGTGAATACAAAGATTTCTCAGAACAATATACGCTTCTTGCATACAACCGAACTCTCTTTCTCTGTAACAAGCGCGCCGCGAATGCTTCTGGAGCAAAGTTTCAGTCGATTTCATCGCGATCTAATCACTTAAAATTGATGGTACATGTCGGAGAGAAATATTTCGCAAGCGGTAGTACAAAATTCTACGTTCTGAATAAAATCCAAATCTTTTTTGTGCATACTCGGCTTATTACGTAATAAAAGAACTGTGGAAAATCTGATACTTAACGCATGTCATACGATTAAAACCTTCCTGATTATAAATTTGTAAGAACAATAACGTTACGTCTTATAAGTTAGCGAAATAAAGTGAGCAGAATTGATTTTAACTAACTTAATTTTTATTTGTTGCTCATTTGTTCCGTTAACTTATAAGACGTTACAACGTTTTTGTTTGTCGATAGGTACATGCTTTTCAATAACATTGCCTTTAACTTTTCTCTACGGAAATCAAAGTGTGAAATCAATTTCAACTCGCTGTCCCTATTAACGATATTTCAGAATAGCAACACTCACCTGGTGGAATGATCAACAAAGGAACCGCCATCCAGAAGCCTCAGCTTGGCGAAAAGCACGGCACTGACGAATGGCACCGCCGTGAGCTCCTCGAGGTCGACCTCCACCGAGAATTTGTACTTTTTCTTTTTCATCATGAAGGCCATCTCACTCAGGCCGGGACACCGCACCTTGAATCCTGTTTGCGTGTAACGCGCAAGTTCTCGAGCGAGTCCCGAAGGCAAGCGGGAATTTCGAGTCTACACAGTGTACGGACCCCTCCAGCGACACTACCGTCCTTGACTTCGATTCAACAATCGCGAGTGATCCCGGCCGATCGATACATACGGCCGATTTCGTAACTTCCTGGAACCGGTCGTTCGCGTTTCTTCGACTATCACTTCGCGATTCTACGCATCATCGGTCTCACTGACGTTTCGCGCCCGCGCGGGAAAGTCATTCCCGACGTTTTAATTATGGAAAATATAGACCGGAAGAGATAACGAAGCCCAATTGCCTGAAAATCTTCAGCGTTTCGATTCGCACGATTGAGATCGTTGCCACAACTGAAGGAGAGGATTATGCCGCGCGATTTCCGCCACCGGGAATTCTCCCCCAGAAGAGGAACGTCTTAGGAATGAGTGGCGGACGACGGTTTCGTGATCTCGCGGATGCTTCATCGACGCAACTTGTCGTTCCCACGTTCATCGACGTCGCAGCAAGATTCAGGAGGAAGAAATGCAGCTGGCGCACTTGCTCACCATTTTCATTGTCTGGAACTGCAAGTAAAATTCAACGTTTTATTTGTGTGAACGTAACGAAACGATGCGAGGCAAATAAGGGGAAAGTAACCGGTTTACGTGGTAAGGAAACGAAAACGTCGACGCAACTCACTTGTTGCGCGAAAAAAAAGAACAAAGCATAATGCGCATGATAAAATTAATTAAAAATGTAGTGAATTTAAAATGCAATTAATCCTCATCGACGTCTATTATTAGCACATGTAATTGCAAAAATTGTGTACACTGAGTCTCAGCATTTCACACAATATTAATTGTTTAGTTTAGTATTTCACATATAAAAAAATAATTAGAAATTCTTTTATCAAAATTGAAATTAAAAATATTATACCTATATTGTACAGCACTAAGGACGATTTTCATCAAACTCTGGCTAACTTAATTATGCCAGTAACTTTGCAAGATTGACCAATCGCATTTATCATTTAGTTTTAACGACAGATACGATTGGTCAATTCCAATGGACTACCGATTAAGTTAATCGGAGTTGATGAAAGTGGCCCTAAATGTGTTGATTAATAACAAACGAATTTAAATCACATAAATAAAAAACCGTTAAAAGCACAGTTGAAGCTTGATACTAGCATTAAACATTGAAAAAAATAATGCTTATCAACAGTATCATTTTCATTAAAAATAATTTTATCAATTCAATAACATTATTAATGAAACAAATATACGTCATGTTCTTGTTTCAATAAATTTTTTTATTTCATTACACTATTGTTAAATTAACAAGATCATTTTCAATTAAAATAATGATGATGATATAACATCATTTTTTAGTGTACCTAATAATATTTTGATATATTATAAATACATACATCTTCTAGTCATGTATACATAAAATTGCGCGTCCATTATTACAAAAAAAATGTAATAATACTTGTTTTTTATCATATATGATGAAGTTTATTATGGGTTACACACATACATATAATTTACATACAAGAAATTGTTTGGACATTAATTAATGAATAAATTGGTTCTATTTATTCACAAACGATCGATACATTGAAATTTACTGCAACAGTAGCTCAATATTACGCTTGAAATGAGTGTAAAATGTAAAATTAATATCAGAGAATCCATTCATATACAAACAAGTATATACATAGAGAACAATCGAGTGGTGTATCGCGCAGTGGTTGATATGGAACAAGAATTGTTTAAAATTTTAAATGTGTGTGATAGTATTTGTCAAGCTATTGAAAAGTCCACCTACATGAGACATGCACAGTTCGGCCATTCGAAACAAGTGGTGTTTGATTAGGAAGTTCTCCATTTTCCTTACTCCACAGACCTCGCCCTTTCTACTACTTTTTTCTTTATCGAAAGATTTCTCTTTATATGATAAAAAAATTCAGTTTTTAGAATAAGATAACATATCACCTAAAGTATTTTGCCAATAAATTAAAGAAACTTTGAAATAAATGACATTATGAGACTTTCGGAGAGATGGAAAAAGGTGTCAGAGTAGCATAGCTCATATATATAATACTTCATTTATTGTATCAGTAAAGTTAATTTTTATTAGTAAATTACATTTTTATAAAGTAAAAAAACAAAAGATTATTTTAAGACAATTTAATATTTTTGTTTAATATTATCAACAATTTATAAAAATAGGAAAATGTAATGATATTTAAAAAATGTAAGAATCTTGATTAATTTCATTTCTAAAAAAATATGATTAAAAAAATGTTTTAATATGCAAATACAATAAAAAAATTTTACTAAATGGTAATATATTTGTTTCAAACAGTACTAATTAAATATTTACTTACAATAAATATTTCACTCTAAGTAAATGTTTTAGTCTCAATAAAGAAAAACGATAGTTAAATCAAATCAATAATACTTTATTAAATACATGTACATTGACTTCGACAATTATCTAGTAAATATTTAGCTAGTATTATTCAAACAAATATTTATTAGAATTTAGTTAATTTTTTAAGTATATTTATATACAATGTTTTGTATCATAAATATTACATAATTTTTACTATCCAAGTAAATAGAAAAACCCAACAAAGTCTGATATCACTTTTTTAATGTATATTTACATTGTAATATATTATCAATATGAATGCATAATATGATAACAAATTCATACGCTACAAGTTTAAGAGGCAAAATTCATAACGTAACATGTCATAGTATTTTACAAATTTATGCAAATGTTACATTTGTGCAAATTTTGATAAAAAAAATATATATTCAGAATGAAATATCCGTTAAACACTTCAAGATTACAGCAATAATGGCTTTAAAGATAAACGATAGCACAATTATTATATAATATTTATGCGATAATAAAATCAAATAAACGAGTCAGAAAAATTATTATCTATGCTTCATGGAAACAGAAATCGCCCAAATTGTTATCTTTCAAGTTTGCGGAAGACACCAAGATAACATCCTAAATGTCATTTTGTGTACATTTCATATTGCCAATATACATAGGTTTTTAAATGATGTGGACATTGTATTTTTTCTAAGTATACCGGGTGGGTATATTTAGGAATTCTGTTTACTTATTGTTATTGTCAGAATATCTCCGCTGTTTTTAGAGATATAAAATAACATATTTATAATGATGATAACATCAAAAAAGGAAACATTATACTTAAAAAATGTATTTAAAAATGTACAATATACTACTAATAATTTTTCTATGGCTGGAAGCACTTCAAAGATTTCAAAGTAACCTTTATTTTTGTCAATGTAAATTTTTTATAAATGGAATTATACAATTTTTCGACACTTCTATCTCAATACTTTCATACGCAGAATAACTAGAGAAATTACATTACGTAAAAAAATCATACGATTCCATTAAAAAAAATGAAAGTGACCTAAAAATCTCCGAAGCGCTATAAAAAAATCATTAGTAACATATCGTATCCTTCTTATAATGCTATACAACTTCAATAAATTATATATTATTTCATACGTCTCTAAAAATAGCGGAGATATTCTAAGCAGACAGAGTTATTGCCCCACCTTGTATTCTGGTTTATTAATGGAACAAAAACATTTCCTCAAATAGAGATTAATGTTAACCTAAATAAAATAAAGAGGAAAAGATTAAATTACCAACAGAGAAAGAACCATTTAATACACATTTCTGTCATTTAGTAAGATGATTATGAAAGCCACACCCCGCAAGTGTTTTATTCAGAAAAATAAACAACGTTCTTCGTCATATCTTTGTGTTACAGAATGATTTAATAATTTGTAAATCCCGTAACAAAATTTATCGCGCGGCGAAATACCTGCGAGAGAAACGCAAACTGCATAACGACTAATTAGAGAGACGGATGTTTTGAATATGCTAATTGCGCCCGGAAATGCGAAGTCCATTCCTTCCTGGAATCGAGTTTCGGGATGCGAACTGGGTGAGCGCAACGCAGTAACATGAAGCACCAATGACTGATGCAGGTCGAGATAAAAACACAATTACCACAACCATCACCATACCGCCGAAAAAGCACAGTCCATTACGAAGCGGGGAATTTAAGCTACCGCAGAAGGGAGGACGATGTCAGAATTATGAAGACCGTAATGACAGCGATAAAAATATTTGAAAGCCACTTGATGCAGCGGGAAAATTTAATGCTTTCCAGCAATATTTCAACAAACTTATCGCAGCTCAATGATAGAAATGTAAAGTATATACCCTGCAATAAAATAACGTACGAACGTTTAGGAAACAAAATATATGTAGTTAGAAAAATTAAATTCACCAAATCAATTATAATATGTAGATGTCATATAAGTCAAAAGTATATATGAATATAGAAAATATTATCTATATTATAATTTAGATGTTTTTGTTTAAGTTTCTTGTACTTTGCGTAGAAAGTAAATTTTCGATAAATTAATTTTTTTTAAATTAAATTATTAGAATTCTACTGATTTTTGGAAGTTGTAATCAAGTAACAATAAAGTATTCGAAATTGATTTTAAAAAAATCAAAACAATTAGATAATTTCAGAATATTAAAAGCTTTCTGAGATTACAGTTCTTGACCACTGAACTGTTACAAATTGAATCAATTTGATATGTATTTGCAATACATGTAATATATATGTAAAATCAACTTTTATTATAACTTGTTATTTTAATAAAAAATAATTTCAAAATAAGAAAGGATTTATTTTCTCATTTCAATAATTAATATCTTTATTTATAATAGAAATCGCCTTCAAAATATCCATCAATTTTCAGTTACGAACAATATCTCAGTGTCTTTAAAAATTAAGGGGATACTCATTGATGGATTATCCGCTCATTGAGCGTCATTGACATCGATATCCACTCGACGATCTCGCTACTCTCCCTTAACTCGTCCGACTTTGGATGAGAGCAATCACGATAAGGACAATCGAGAAGTCTATAATTCGTCC